GTCTTAATGCCCAACTGTTCACTGCCTTGGACATCAGTTGACTTAGACGCCCACTCATTCTCCATTTCACCTTCTGCAAGTCAGGAATCAGTATTTGCATCTTACCATTAACAGAAAAACTCCCCATTTCACTCACTAGGTGGGAATACATCAACTTTAGAGGACTTTAAAATCCACATGGTGATTCAAGGCAGTCACATTAAGATATGCCAGCTGACAATGAGAACAAAGGCATTTCCCACAGAAGTTTAAAAAACACATTTGAGCGTAACATTAATGAGGTGCACATGAAAGAAGTGCGCGTGTGTGTGCATGAAGAATTGATGCAGAGATCTGGTGTTTCCCTTTAAACTCCCAAAGGATCTCCACTAATGAGGCATGGTGCTGAGAAAGCTCTGCTCCTGAGAGGGCTCAGAGACACTGGATGTCTTCTTTGGCCTTTTGATGAGGTTACTGACAAGTCAGACTGTAGGAGTGAAATCTAATGCGAAGTCCTAGAGCACTGGCTCTCTACAGTGCAGTGACTCCCTCTGATTGAGGGTTAATCAGCGGGTGCACAATGGTGCTTTGAGGCTGCCTCCAGAATCAGGGACAAAAACTTGTTCAGCATCATCTGCACCTCTGAGAACTGTACAACGAAAAGAGCGCACAATGAACAATGGGGTTTGGAGACAAAGGCTAAATTCCCTATTCACTATATGATGTGATGTCTGAAAACATAGTGGAGAGTATCTAATGCACTTTTACAACCACAAAATGCACACAGTAGTGCAAACAGTTGGAATGTTTCACTTGTTAACTCACTGTTGTTTCACTACCTAGTGTTTAAAGGGTCCATATCATGACCTTTCACCATCAACTCAAATCTAACACAACATTCAGCTGATCAAGGACTTCTAAAAGCAGTAATAGTTACATGGATCAGGTGGGCCAATAGGGATGGAGCTAAAGTCTGCAAGGAGGCAGATCTCCAGGAAAAGGGTTGGTGACCTATGGTTACTTATGTAGTAATTAAATACTGTTAAGCTACCAGAATGTACCACTCACTCCCCAGTCCATACAGCCCATACATGGAAACTAAGCAGCAAAAACAGCAGATTTTGAATTCACTGCTTTTGGAATGTCACAAAAACCAACTCATTAGCATGTGTCCACCTATTCAGCCTACAGCAGTATATATGTATTTTTAATTTTTAACTATGAATTTAACTATGAATAGTACATTTTTGATAATCTGTACAAACAAACTCCCAAAAAAAAAACTTTTTAAGTTTATAGGGGAGGATACAGACTGCTATCATTGTTTACTTTGCAGAGCTAAGTTGTAACAGCATGCTAAAACTAAGCCTTCCGTGAGGAGGATGTACTTTAACCTAGGTAGCTCACACTAGTTGTTTACGTACTTCAGAGTGCCCCAGGTCCCAGAGTATGATTAAAATAATAAAATAGTAATAATAACAGTAATAAAACTACTTTTATGGTACAGTAACAGTCTTCAAGGTCCGTCTCAAGAAATATCTGTCCAACTGCTTTTCAGATGACATTACTAAGGGGAAACGAGAAGATGACCAAAAGCACATTGTACTTCAACCTGTTTAACTAAATAAACAACCTATGTGACATTTTACCCCATGTTAGGTTGTGCCCCACCCCAACACCCATAACGCACCGTCGTAAGCAGCAGAACATGGTTTTTGTCGTATAGTGAAGAGGACATGTAAAGTAAGCATTTATTTGAATCACACATTCTATTCTTTATAATAGTGTACTGTATAGTGCACCATGTTTTCCGATGTGTGAGCAATGATTAAGGAACCATTTCCAACACAGCTTAAGCGAAAGAATGTCACACTAGAATGGGTTTGCACTGTGCTCTGCAGCTCTAGAACTGCAGCTGAGGTACAGGAGTGCTTCACGTTGGCATAAATGACCTAGAGTTGACTTGAGGACATTAAGGCCACAGCTGGCTTGCTAGAAATTCACAGCATGGGCAAGACAAAGCTCTGCTCATGTTACATAACAGCGAATTCCCAGAGTGCCCTCTGCCTGGACAATCTCTGATATCAAGTTGCCATTGGCTCAAAACACACTTTAATTCATGCCACAGCTCCGTCCACGTCAGCTTGTAAGCTACCTTACAGCCATAAAGGGGATTAAATAGCAAAAGTAGGTTCCCAGCGTTTAGCCGCATTGCAATGGGCACTTTTAAGAAAAAAATAACACCAATGATTTTTGAAATCATGCTTAGCGAGAGTGTGACAGGACAGTGGTGCTGTGTCTGAGCTTAAAGGACTGTGGAGGATACAAAGGCAGAATGACTGATGCCCTGTTTTAATGAATTCTTAATGCATCTCTGCAAATATATGAAGGAGGAATAGCCTGAGAGAAAACTCTAGAGTGAGGCTGCTGCTGGAAGAAGGGCAGGGGTCCTTCTGCCTGAGGAGATTACAGATAGGTCTGACAAGGTGAGTGCTGCAAATTCACAGCTTTCCCCCTGATATCGCTGCAGCACATTAAAGAAAGGGTTTATTCCAGCAATTTTTACAAATCCCACAAAAGGCAAAAAAGCTGGACAGACCCCAAAGTTCCAGAGCTGAGGATGAAGAAAACAGAGCTGTGGAGAGATCCCCAGGGACAATTAGCTTCTCCATATGCTTTGAGCACATTCTGAAAATTTCGAAAGCAGCTCAAAACAAGCTTTTTAGTTTAGCTTTTTGGCGTTACAAAGCCAACTTACTGTTCTTTATTCATTTCTATGTTTCTTTGTATCACTTTAACTGCTAGAATCACAAAAATCTAAATCATGAAGAGTCTATGCAGGAATAGTGAGCATGTGCTTCTTATATATTCTTATTTCTCATTGCATTTCTCATTGTCTTAGCTTTTTAATATATAAAAAGTACTGCAGAGATAAAGTTTATCCTCCCTGCATGGGTCACAGAGAAGCAGCAAATCCACGTGCTGCTCTGAAACGCCTGGGAAGGGAGTGTGAGAGACCCTCTGCAAAGTGACAGGACCTTCGTGCCAAGAGAGACACAAACTGTCTTTCTGCTGGGCCAGGAAGAGAGCCAGCATGGCTACTACACACAAACATAAAAGCTACTTCACATGTTAGCACTGCTCTTGCCCAGCAGGCAGAACAAGCTATGCAGACTGACGAGGGGGGCAACACATACACACAGGCCAAACGTTTGGACATGTAATAACTTAAAAACAAATGATTCTGAATTTGGTTTGCCTAAAGGGCCCATAACCTGGAAAACTCAATTCTCTTCACTTTTCGTCCAATTTTAGCACCCCAAGTTACAAACAATGTAAATGTGCCAACATGGTCCTTAAGGGGGAATTCCACAATTTTTTCTGAATTTCAGCTCATTTAAATAATGCATATGTAAACAAACAAATTCAGCATCGTCTGATGTTAAATCCACTAATCTGCAGACATTTACAGAGTCAGAATTGTTCACGGTGGTGATGGGAACCAGACGTCCAAAGAAATCAATGCCTCTAAAAGTTACATCACAGGAAGCTATTACAGTAAATGATTTAAGAATGCGCTGACTGACACCTGAAACATTGTTTTACTATAGTCTAGCCATAAGGTTTGGCCTAAAATGTACGTGCAGGGTGTTGTGAGGCAAACCAGCTCCTACAGAAAACTTAAACTTTTCAGATTTACCATTATTTTGCCATTATGAACATTATATAGAAAAACTCAGAAGAAACATGCAGGTTAACTGGTCATTCAGCACAGTAAAATAAAATGTCTATATCTGCATTTGAGACATCGCAACCCCTGGTTCCTATCACCACCACTGTAAAGAAATCTTCTCTACAATGAACCATTTCACATCAAACCACACTGAATAACTTTATTTACCTCATTATTTATTTATCTCAACGAAAGCAAGGATATTTGCCTGTTCAGCCTACAGCAGTTTAGCTCCACCTATTCACCAATCGGAATAGAGCTTAGCTACATACATCATCTTAACATCTTAAAAGGCCCATATCATACATTTTTCTTTTATTTTATTGTTGTCCCTGAGATCCACTTATATTTGTTTGGTTTTATGCATAATAAATAGTCACAATCCATTTTCCATGACCATTTTCCAACCTCTCTAAATCCCTTAGAATTAAACAGACTGATTTTCTTAATGCACCTTAAAGAAAAGCAGTCCAGGCTCAAACACTAAATGTACTGTATTGTAAATGTATTGTTTTTTGTGATATCACGAAAACAGTGAATTCAAAACAGGCTGTGTTTGCAGTGCAGTTTCCACATATGGTCTGTATGGATTGGCAACTGATATGTTTTGAATCTTTAACAGTATTTATGGTAACACTTTATTTGGATAGTCCACTTTAGATGCTTTGTAGATACTTAATTTACTTAGTTACATTTGACTAAATATCTATTAAACTGACCATAATTTTCTTTAAAAAATGAATTATGAATGGTTTTGATACATAAAACCACATAAATGCCACAAGTGGACCTAAGGGGGGGGAAAAATAAAAATACATGAAAAATGTAAGATGAAAGCCCTTTAATTTCTAAATTAATACATTAACTGATCATTTAAATCAGATGTGCTTGAGAAGGAAAAACACCAAACTGTGCAGAAATCCGGCCCTCCAGGACCAGAGCTTAGCTTTCCACCCCTGCTTCATAAATTCTTCTAGAAGTCCATTTTAACTGGTGATGCTTTCCACACTGAGTGGTCAAGCATATCCCATAAGAGCTTGATTACTGAAAGATCTGTTGACCATGATGGAATTTAATATTTTAAAAAAAAATGAAGTTAAACTTGATGTAAGTCAACATGCTGCGTTAGTTGTTGGCAAACTGAATATTTTTGAAACCTTAAAAATCACTACATGGTTCTAAGCTTTTGGCCTGTTTTGTATGTGTGGGCCATGGCTAACAAGGAGAGGGTCAGGAGAAAGTGATTAATGGGTAGAAAAATAAGCAGCAGTGTGCCAATTTCATTTACCAAAGTCTGACATGTCAAGATCTTGTTCTTCACCTCCCTCTCGAGGAGCTGACACCTCTTTCTCCTCTCACTCACCTCTGTTTCCTGTCGGAAAAAGAGACAGCAGATGGAAGAGGAAATCTATCAATCATTTATCACAGAGAATCTACAAAAAAAGCACATTTGCTATGCTAGAATTCATAAAAGACTCAAAGAATGTACTGAAACTGCTTTATCAAATAGAGATTGTTACCCAAATGCTTGATCTAAAACGTCCTCACTCTGTTCTCCACAATGGCTCTGAAAACAAATTCTACATGCATAATTCAGTCATGACCCAGATCTAAAACATTAAAAGGTTTTGCTGGTTATGCAGTAGACTACATTCTTCATTCTTCTCTCAGCGCTCATGACACTTAGCAGATGCTAGTCCTCTGAAAGCATCATGGGGGCCAGGGACTGCTTGCCAGCTCCTTGGGCCAGTCCCCACAGAATCAGCTGTGGCTCTGAGGGCCATTATGAAAAGAGCAGTCAAAGACAGACGTGAGTTTCAGAGAGCAGATGTCTTGTTGTATTTGTATTTTAGAGCACAGTTTCTCAGGAACTCTGCCCACAAATCTTGGACTGATGGAAAAGTGGTTTAATTGCAGATACGGATGGCCACCAGAGAGAACATCTCCAGCTCTGATGCTGGGGAGCAGAAGCAGGCCTCTGCCGAGGTAGCAAGAAGTGCAGGCTTTATACAAATATAGATCTAACAAAGGCATTGTCAAGACCCAGACTGTCTAGATGATTCGACAGTGAATGTGGATTCAAGGAAATGTGATGAGGACAGACGGCAAATTTCCAAATGGTTGATGGGGCTATTAGAATTACAATATAGCACCCATCCTGATCCTGAGACCAAATGTGCTAAGTTTAAATAACATACACTCTTAAAAAAGATCTACATATAGGTCTATATTGAACCATGAAAACTCAAAGAACCCTTTGCATGATTAAAGGGTGCTTTGTACGGTGAAATCGTTCTTCAGATTGATGTTAAATCTGCTGTATATGGTTTTATATATATATATATATATATATATACACATATATATATATATATATATATATATACCTAAAAGGGTTCTTCTATTGTTACAATGTCAAGCATGATGGTATACAGACCCCCTTGCAAAAGATTCTATGTAGAACCGCAGCACGTTCTCTCATCTTTTTAAGTGTATATATTTACATTAAGTATATGAAAGATACAGAATCTAAATGTGTATGTGTTGTTTTTAGACTGTTATGAGGTCCAGATCTACTCATGTCAATTGAAAAAATAAAAGAATACAAAAATAGTTTTGTAGAAGTGAGAACATCTCACTAGTCCTCACAAGAACACTGCTTTTTTCACCACAAATGCAGTTTTCTTGGAAAACCTCAAAGTGCATTTCTACACTATCTAGTCATTGAGATGTAAACAAAGTCATTCAGAGAGCTCTGATGTGAAATAGTTCACTGCAGATAAACTTACCCACTCAGATTTCTTCACAATAGTGGTGACAGAAACCAGGGGTTGTGATGCCTACAAGGCAAATATAGTCATTTTATTTACTATGTAAAATGACCAGTGAATCTACATGAGTGTTTATATGTAATGTTGATAATAGTACATTAATGGAAAATCTGAAAAAATATGCTTTCTTTGGAGATTATTTTGATTTACAACAGCCTTCATGGTCCTCTCAGCCATGAATACGTTTGAAAAAATGGCGTTCAGACCAAAATCTTCTCTCAAAACTACCATAAAATGTCTCAGGCATCATGCAGTGTACTCAGAACCATTTAGTGTAAGCATTTTGTGGTTCCTATCACCACTGCTGTGACTAACTGACTCTAGAACAGTCTAGTTTCTCTAGAATGGCACATTTCACCTCAAGTATTCTCATCTTCTATTTAATTATCATTTATGAAAAATCTATAGTATAAATCAATTAGATTTATACTATAGCAAAACATCTTTTACATTGCAGGTAGTGCTACTTGCTTTTTCAATCAATCAATCAATCAGGTATAGGCCAAGTATTACTATGCTAAAGAATTACATAAGTCAGTGGAGGTCCCCAGTGAGTGCATTTGTCTGTAAGCCCTATGTATGCATGTGTGTGCCTATGTGTGTGTATATTTATGGCATGTATGTAAGTGTATATATATATATATATATATATATGTCAATGTGCGATATGCAGATACGTATAGGTGCATACATGTGAGCGCTCTCCTTGTGATGAATGTTTTAAAGCAGCCATGCAGAGCTCTAAGGGCGCTTGGGACAGAAGCAGAGAGGGAACAGCTGGAAGCTCCAGACAAGTGGCATGGAAATAACGAGCATTTCATCTGTGTCAACATGTTCCTCAGCAGAGCTCCACCTAAATTGGGTTGTTTCTCACCCAGACAAGCCGCGCGGGCAAAAAGACAATGCGCTGTTAGCCATCCCAGATTAAAACAGAAACACAAACCATGTACTTGGGATATTACAAGCAGGGTCAGTTTGCTGATCTGTGAGGGACGCAGACTGCAGATGTTCACTGGAGGCCGGCTGGCTAAACGACGGTAATGCATCTGCTGCGTCTGGGGGCAGTCAATGCAGAGCGCCTTACATATGTGTGATGATGGGGGAGGGGAGCTCGGGGGTTGCTATAGAAACCCACTCGTCCAGGTAGAAACTGTAGCCATGAGAACGAGCGGCTTGGCTGATGTTTCAGTTTGCAGGCCGCAGTTAAACAAGGCTCAGTCAGAGACGACCTTTCTGCTTGGACAAGATTCAGACAGCCGATGAAAATGGTGTAAATAACACGTAGAACATGCCAAACTAAACTCTCTCTCCACCTCTGTGTCTCTCTGCCAGGGACGTAGTAATCAAACATGGACTGCAAAATGCATTTTTTAATCCATGTATCAGTGCGTCCCTCCACACACACCCACATTCAGTGATGTAGGGATCATTTCTGATTTGGGTGGGGTTGACTGCTCACCACATCACCCATGATAAGTGTTTATGCTAATCATTCACATTAAGGATATGTTACATTAGGAAATTCAATTAAATGCTTGTTCAAAATGCAAAACATTTGTACCTTGAAGACTTCAAATTACTATAATTCTAGCTTTATGCTAAAGTTTGGGCACCCCTGGTCAAATTAAACGTGAAAATAAGTTAATGCAGAGAACACGTCAGCACATTTTTATACCCAATCACTGTTTATTTGGTGAATTTAATGTATTGGGGGAAAAATAAAAACAAAATATGATCTGTACAAAAGATATTGTGCGTTTTATGTCTTATGTTTTATATATATTCTTTCTTCCAAATAATAAACTCAGCAAATAAATAGAAATTGTGCATAAATATGTAGAAAAATGCTATATTTAAATGTGTCCCCTGTAGATGATGTGTTGATTATTTAACTTATGCATATGATTGTATCTTTAAATAAACTAACTTTAACTTTTAATGAAACAACTTTTACATTATCTCAGGTAGTCTGCTTAGTTTACCACACTTTTTCCATAGCAGTCTTGAACATTAGAAAAGTGGAGCTGACTCAGTCCACTACAGTAAAGGAACATGAAAGATGCTGACTGTATACAGGCTGCATTTCCCATGAGTTTTATCTATTCAGGGACGAAAAACATAGATTTTAACCAAAAGCAATCACAGCCGGGCGTGTTGAGAGCAAATGTTGTGGGGGAACAATTCTTCCCCCCTCCAAATGCTGAAGTGGACACATAATCCACCCTCCCTTAGATCTACACCTATACACACACCCCACCACTCCTTATATAAGACATTAAAAAATATATCAACATTCATCTCAAGTTTGGTTTAGGATGAAAAGAGAAAAAGATCTAAGTGACTCCACAAGAGAACAAGTGACTGAGAATGTCAGTGCAGAACATGATTAGACTGTTATCAAGAACAGTCCATCCACAACTACACAGAGAGAGATATATTATAGTAGGACTGCAGTGCATACATGCCTCATTACAAAGACAAATGCACAGTGATGTAAAACCCATCAGCACTGGTCTATATAGATGCATTATTCTTCACCACATTCTCCACAAGTGGGAGAGTGCATGTGCACCAAGAGAACAGTTCAGGTCTGAATGCTTGACCCTACAGTGAGAGGACCTGGTGGAACTGCTATTCTGTGGGGGGCATTTTGCTGCCATGGTTTGGGTTAAGTTATTCTGACTGATCCTCTTTATCCTACGATGAAACATTTCTATCCTGATGGGAGTCTTTTCCAGGATGACAATGCCTCAATCCACAGGACACAAAGGGTCACTGAATGGTTTGATGAGTATGAAATGATGTTAATCATATGCTATGACCTTCCCAGTTACCAGCTCTCATTAGACAGCATTGTCCACTATTATCAAAACACCAAATGAGGTAATATCCTTTGGAAGAATCCCTCCAGTACAGTTCCAGAGACTTGCAGAATGTATGCCAACGTGCTTTAAGCTGCTCTGGTGGCTCATGGTGGTCCAACACACTTCTGCTGGTTTTTACTTGATCGGGTAACCAACCTCACTTGCACGCCACTGAGCCTTCGATATTACCACTGAATATTCTACCACGATATTGCTGCATTTTTACATCATAGATATTGCTTCTCCTGCTTTTCCCCTTTTCTGTATCTTATACTGATGGTCAAACCTTATTCTATGCTGTTATTGTTTGCTATCCAGTGTCAACCAAAGGAGGATGGGTTCCCCTTTTGAGTCTTGGTTCCTCTCAAGGTTTCTTCCTCTTGCTCTTAGGGAGTTGCCACTGGCGACACTCATGGGGGCTTGAGCCTGGATTTTTCTGTAAAGCCGCTTTGTGACAACGCCTGTTGTAAAAAGCGCTATATACACCGATCAGGCATAACATTATGACCACCTCCTTGTTTCTACGCTCATTGTCCATTTTATCAGCTTCACTTACTATATAGGTGCACTTTGTAGTTCTACAATTACAGACTGTAGTCCATCTGTTTCTCTGCATACTTTGTTAGCCCTCTTTTACCCTGTTCTTCAGTGGTCAGGACCCCCATGGACCCTCACAG